ACTAAAAAAACTGACCAATTATTGGCTCAAGCTTGGACCTTTGGAGTCTAGCAAGGTTTTTCTGGGGCCTAGGTGAATCTTGCTATTCGATCAAGGAAATGAACATTTCTTACTTTTATTAAGATGACTTTTTCTTGATCAGATAGGAGTATCTTCGCACAACTTAGGAGAAAATTGTAATGCATACATTCTTCCAAGCTTATGTGTGCTAAAATGTTTCCAGAATCTCCCAAAGGTTTGAAAGTAGCTTGGATAGTTAAGAACTTGACATTGGACATAAAATAATGAATCTTACAGCTTGCGCAGGAAAGCCCTTCACTGGACTATGAAAAACACTCAGTGCTATTACCCCACCTCCCCCTAACCAGGATAATCTATTCAAATCTAGAATGGGCTATAAAATGATTAATTATGCAAAATATGTAAAGTTAATTTTCCACTACAACTGCTTCTCGTAATACCACAAACAAAAAAGGAAAACATTTATTACATTATCACAACCATAAAAATGTCTCCTGCTAACAATACTTCTCCTAATTGTTATAAAAGTTATCTGAGTGTATATTTTAGATTAAAAAAGCCATATTTAGTCTACTTACATCAAACTTATAATTAGCACAAGGATAATGACTTCCATGCACCTGATAATTGACACTGTATAACAGCATTTGCATTTTCCTTAAAAAGAAATATTTATTCTGACCACATACACAAGACATTCAATTTGAAAAGTTTATTTAGGATGAGTCACTCCGTGTTCTAGTATACTCAACTTGACAGCATCTTGATATGCGCGTCCTGAAACCAGGGTGCACACAAAAAACCACTAAAACAACAATCAGAAAGACGACTTAATGACTGCAGCAAAAACTACCCCTGCGATGACGGCAGGATTTGTGCTACCTGTACATACAAAAGAAAAATAGAAAAGTTAAACAATGACAAGTTCAATTTATGATTGAGGAGAAGTAATAATTGAGATTATTAAACTTGGTTAATTTACACAAAAGAAATGCATTCCAGATGAACTTTCAGCTTAATCAATAAGCATAATTCATGCTTGTGTTTATTGACGGACTGAGTGACTGACAAATGGATGGATTTTCCAATTTAAAAGCATCATTCTTAAGAAATCTATATATCTTTTGAATACAAGAACCCAAAATTTGACTTGTGTAATGTCTATTGGAAGAAAAAAATTGCTAACAGTACCTGAGTGTAGATAATTGATCTATGATGTACATGTAGCTGCCTCATGTTGTGTAGTGGCTTAGTAGTAAACTAAGTGAAACTAAACGTGTGAATCAATTTGCAGATGAACTGAATTACTTTTATACCCAATATGATGGAGCTAGCTTCACACTCCATCTTTTTGTTAACCATTAGGTACCTAAATTTAATTCCTAATTTTTCATCCCAGCTCATGAATGATGCCTTTTTACCTTTAGAACTTGTATTGGTTGTAACTGTTGTAGCCTGCGTTGAATTTGGTTTACCTGCAGTAATAAAAATATGAAGTCTGTAGCATGCATACTATAGTAAGTAAAAAAAAGAAAAAGAGTCGCACAAGACTTATCAGATTCTGGCTGTGGTGAAACCTGCCGTCAGTCAAGGCTTTGAGTGGGATGAATTCATAATTATATTATAATTATGTTACTTTTATTTTCATTTTACATTTAGAACAAATTAAAGCCAGGAACACTGTATAATTAACAGCGTGCTAATTTGCCTCACAAGAAGAGCTTTTTTGGTTCAGACGCTAAGTATTATTATTCTTCTTGAGCATTTCCACATCACATACACCTTTTCACCTGAAGAAACCCTTTCTGTAGGGCTTGAGTTAAGTGCAATCAGGTTAGGTTACCCTTTCCTCACCAATAAAACACTGTCTCACCAAAAAACAAGCTAGCTTAATTGTACGATGCACTAGTACAGACTACAACAAGCCAATCCCACGCAAGGCCACTGTAGCTGAGACTCTCCTAGTACTTCATTCCCCTTGAACACCATCTACAGTACACTGAGCTCAACTTTGTACATTTCACTCCACAATCATTTTTAAAACTGACTTAACCACTCCATGCAATTTCAGCCCTATTCTTCCTCCGAAGTCCGCCCGCGGAAA